ATGTCTATTGGATGGGGCTAGGGTGTCTTCCTACAATTCCCCTGGGCTAGGGTGTCTCCCTACAGTGACTCACTCTGTTTCTTCCCAAGTAAGTTTGTCCTACCCTCTGGGAGACGTGGACACCCAGTCCTGTCATCAGTAGCCAAATGGGATGCCAGACACCAACCACACCCAGCCCCAGAAGAGATTCTGTAGTCTCTCATGGGGATACAATGTATCCTCCAAAGTCTGTATTCTCTCATGGGGATACAATGTCTCCTCCAGACTCTGTATTCTCTCATGGGGGATCCAATGTATCCTCCAGACTCTGTATTCTCTCATGGGGATACAATGTATCCTCCAGACTCTGTATTCTCTCATGGGGATACAATGTCTCCTCCAGCAGCGACTACAGAGAGCATCTTCCTTTCACAGGAAGTGCCCTTTGCCTCTTGGTGCTGTAGGATGACGGGCTGACACTTGGGTGGTGCTCCAGTCTGGAAACTACAAACCTTTCTTCACCAAGCCAATAACTGGCACGCCCTGTACCCTCCTTGATGTGGACTTATTCCCTCGTCCCTTCTTGTCTCCCCTTCTGTTGGTAGTGGTGCATTTCCACTTCTCCAAACTGTCTGGCTCCATTTTCTGTGTTCCCAACTTACTTGTAGGTCAGAGTGTAGAATGCACTTTAGGAGCCAGGATGTAGTTCAGTTGGCATGTTGCTTGCCTAGCAATGCACAGAGCCCTGAGTTTGATCCCCAGCATCACATAAACCAGGCATGGTGCCACACGCCTGTAGTTCTAGAACTTGGGAGGTGGAGGCAGGAGGATCAGAAGTTCAAGGCTGTCCTTTGCTTCACAGCAGGCTCAAGGTCAGTTTAGGATACAGGAAATGCTGTCTTAGCAATTTAGACATACTTCAATTAACAACGGTATTGAGTGACTCTTACACGTGTTTACATAAAATGTATACATAAAAATTGTAGTCTGCTGTCACAAGGTCCTTCTCATGCTATGTCTTGAAATTTATTTCTTTTTAAAGACGAGGCCGCACGTAGCCCAGTCTGGTACCACATTTTCCTATTTTTAAATTTATTTCCCAAGCTGTGCATGGTAGTACATACCTTTAATCCCAACAGGAGGGAAGCAGAGGCAGGAAGATCTCTGTGAATTTAAGGCCAGCCTGGTCTACGTAGCAAATTCCAGGACAGCCAGGGCTACACAGGGAGACCCTGTCTCAGAGAGAATTCTTTCTTAATTCAGTGTTGTTATGTGGTTGGTATTTGTATCCATGCACACGTGGTTTGACTTGGAAATGTATGTAGAGTTTATATACATGTGTATTTTGATCTGAAGAAGCAGTAGCATGTGGTTTCATATTGTTTTCAATGTAATTTTTCTTGCTCAACACTGATTTCTAAATCTCACCCACTTGCTTTATATTTTTTGCAGTTCATGGCGACTCTATGTTATAAAGATGTCCATGAGAGCATCTATCTCAATTGTCTATTGCCCAAGAGATGGACACTCAAATTATTTCCATCTTAGTAAACGATGCCACAGAGAACAACTACATCTATATTTCTATATATGGCATCTTTTAATTCTTGGATATCCAGAAGTGACATTATTGTGTCATAGGGCAAAGACATACAGACATATGTCACTTACAGGTAGAGATGTGTTCTGAGAAAGGCACGTTTCAGCCAATTCATCTTAAGAACGCCAAAGTGTGTATTTATGTAGATTAGGATGCCTTCTCTGTGCATAATCATGACTTATTTTACTTTTAAATTTTATGTGTATGTGGGGACCGTGTGCACCTGTATGTGAAGGCCCAGAAAGGCCCACAGAGTCCACAAAAGGGCATTGTAGGCGTTCTGATAAAGCGTGAGGGGAACCTTGGTAGATTCCCTGTCAGCTGAGGGTGACCGAGGCAGAGGGACAAACACTCCAGGCAGACAGAACTTAAGTGAGAAGTTTTATTAGAAAGGGGGGGGGGAGTTAAAAGAAAAGAGGTAAAGAAACAGAGAGAGACGGAGAGAAGACAGAAGAGATGAGAGAGACAGGAAAAGCCCTCTGTGCCCAGGGGAACAGAAGGAGAGAGAGTGGGAAAGAGAACGTTAAGTGGGCAGGGGGTCTTTCTTTTAAAGGGGTCCTTTGCACCTGCGTGCAGACTATGCAGTCATGGAACCCTGGGCTGGCCAGGGTACTCCCCGAGTGCATTGTGCCAGGTGACAGGGGCGGGCCAGCATAAAGCCTGAATCCTTACAGTAGGTACCAGGACCCTACCTCGGGCCCTCAGCAGGAGTGGTATATGCTCTTAACCTCAGAGCCACCTCCCCAGCTGCAAGGTGACATACTTGTATTGTTCCTGGGTCATACACAAGGCCCATGACTGACTGGACGGTTATCGCCTGCTGTACACCTGTACTTTTCTTTCTAAGTGTGTCAGAGTCCTTTGCATGAAGTCCAGTGCCAGGTCTGAGCACTTCCAGCTGCTCCTATCCCCACCCCCACCCCCCAGTGCTTCCGACTGCCCTTTCAATATTTGCCCAACTAATTGATCTGAAGTGGTACTTCCCTGCTGGTTCAAGTCTCGGTTCTCCGATTCCTGCTGCTGCAGAGGCTCTCTTCATGTACTTGTGAACTATCCAGACTTGCCTTCCTGTGAATAACTATTCATACCCTTTGTCCACGTTTCAATGGGGTCACTTCTCTCCCGCCTTGCTAATCCGCAGGAGCCCTTTGTGTATGCAGCATCGGAGAGAGGCATCTTCCCCCAGTCTCTTAGCTTCCTGGTACCTGCATCTCGATGTCCTTTGTTGAATGAAATGATAACTCATTTCCAACCCACTTGCTCCTCGGACTCACACGAAGCAGCCGGGAGGGAGATTGTCACCTCGTTTTAAGAAGAGGAATCTGAGGGTCCAGAGAGGTTAATACTGGCTCACACTTGTTCAGGGCTTGGGGTTAAAACCTCAGTCCCGGACATCAGTGATGTGGCAAGTGGTATTTACATCTCGGTGTCATTTTCCATCTTGGTGTGTGTGTGTGTGTGTGTGTGTGTGTGTGTGTGTGTGTGTGTGAGAGAGAGAGAGAGAGAGAGAGAGAGAGAGAAAGAGAGCGAGAGAGAGCGCACACAGGAGACAGCTCTCTCCTTCTCCCATGTGGATTCTAAGGATTGAACTCAGGTGGTGAGGCTTAGCAACAAACACTTTTATATTGGGAACCATCTTGCCAGCCCGATTTTTCTCTGCTGTGTGTCAGCCATACTAATATTCTATTTTTAACTACTTGTAAGTGTCTGGGGGTGTGGCCAGCTTTGCGCTTACACAAAAGTTCATGCCATCACATCACCTCACCCACTTTCTTTCCTGCATCCCACAGAAGCA